GGGCGGGGGCGGGGGCGGGAGTCCTCTCTCTCTCTCCGCTCTCCGGGCGATCTCCTGCCGCGCGCTGCTCTCCAGAAGAAAACCGCCCATTAGCCGGGCGTTCACCTCCCATTACGAAGGGGCTGCTCCCGTCCCACTGCTGGCGACGATTCCGCCCACTGAGGAGGGCACCGCTCCCTTGGCAGATAGAGGTACTGTAACTGATCACGTCCCGTTTACAAAAAACAATTAAAATGCACGTCAATTTCTTATTTTCTGTTTCTTTACAAATATTTTGTTTTGAGGGTTGTAGATGCTCACCAAGACGATTTGGGCAATTATTCGAATTTTGCACCTTTGGATCTGACTAAAGCTATTAATTATCCTCAATCAAGAAAGGTATTACCAGCTTACGAGAAAAGATAAAAACTTACATAAAAAACTGAATAGACCATTTACAAAGAATGAACAATGAGAGATTGCCCAAGCAGGTCTATTACTATCTCCCGAAAGGAAAAAGAGAAGTAAGCAGACCAAAGATGAAATGCTTTTCTCTGGACAACTTTGCAGGAAAAGGGTAGATCAGCTTAACCCATGCTGCTGCTGCTGCTGCTGCTGCTGCTGATGATGATGATGATGATGATGATGATGACGATAGTGACGGTGGTGGACAGGCCTAATCCAATTTTGAGAACCACATTTTGATGTTGGCGGATCTTTACAGTCTTCGCAACTTACATCGATACTGATGAGAAGGATAACAAATTTTGAAAACTTCTGGTGTTGAAAGAATCGCAACGTCTCTAGAGCCGACGAAGTTCAACTAAAAAATTAGTTAATATCGATATTATCAGTTCTAAGGTATCGATGCTTATTTATATTCTCAAGAACGAACATGTCGATACACCCAATATTCACCGCCGTCACTGAGATAAGCAGAGCTGCAGCAACCTCGAAACCAACAGCGTGTGAAGCCGAGAGACAAGCTTGCGCAGTTCGAGTTTTGCATCGCTTTTGGACGTCTGCGCATGCGCAGAAGATCGATAGTACTATCGATTGTTATAACACTTCGCCGGATTAACACTCTTTACGGAATTTAATCACGGAGTAATGTTACAGAAGTAGACAGCAATATCTAGCTTGTGCGATGGGCAGTTTAAATTTCTCATCGCTTTCGAGCGTGTACGCATGCGCGAAAGATCAATATTGCTGTCGATTGCTGTACACTATGGCGTGCTTAAACACCATAATATCCAGGGGCGCCTAGAGAAAAACTAGGGCCTGCGGCAGGTGATCCAAGGAGGCGCCTTATTTCAAACATAAAAATTCCCTTCTCCCCCAATTCATTAGTAGAATTAATTCCTTCATACATCATACATAATTTATAGTGTTAAATTTGGATTAGTAATCAATATATTTTTTCATTTCTTTTGAGTGAAAAACAAACTTCGAGGCTCCAATTAAGCCGGGGCCTGGGACAAGTTGCTCCTTCTGCTCCCCTCTTCTGGACACCCCTGATAGTACCTAATATCTAACAATCTTGGAACGTCCAGTGTCTCCCGCGCGTCGAGCAGGTCCGCCGGCAGCGTCTTTGCCGCTTTTCTCGGCCGCTTTCGTCGCTCTCGCCGCTTTTCCACGGCGCGTGAAACCGGAAGTGATGTCCCCGCCCTGTCCTTCCCTGTTCGCCGCGTCGCCGCCCCCCCCCCCCCCGGCGCCAGGGAAAGCGGATTTGGGTGCGAGCGAGGCGACGCGACGCGGAAGGCGGCAATTTCTGAAGGCGCGCGCGACTCCTTTGGGAGCAGTCGTTCGTCCGCTAACTAACGAGCCAGCAGGGACGGGGCTGTTAAAAGACGTGCAGATATTGCAACCGTTTCCTACTACCTGGGTAGGGCTTAATGAGCTGCTGCCTTGTGGACGCGGTGGACGGGACGTGTTTTGTATTGTCGTGGTTTGAATGGCGTTGAGGATTCCTATGGGGTATGAAGTAGTATGGTTCTCGGGTATCGATAGTATTATTGTGTCGAAAAAAAAGCGTAATAATAAGTATAGGAGTATTCGCCATTTGACCTGGCAGGTGGAGTCGCATTTTTTGATATCGATATTATAAATAATAAGTGTTACTGGCTTAACAAGTGTTACTGGCTGCTGCCTTTTCTATGCTGATGTAATAACGCAGTATTAGTTGGGCTTTCCTACAACAGCCATCGCCATCGGGCATCTGGTTCGTTATCTCACAGGACGTACCTCATATTTTATAATACTAGCATACCCGTGCGAGAACTCTCGCGTGGTTAACCCCCGACATCTTCCTTATCCACACAGTATTCCATATTAAGTCCATAATATACATTTTTCTTCAAGGCCCTCTTATCCTCTGCCACTTGCTACATAGGTCTCTTGGTAATTATTGTAACTGAACGTATTTTAACAAAACTTCAACCCATCTCGATCAGGTTTTCGTCCAGTTCCTTGATCCTCGAGCAAATGCTGAGATGGCCCCTTGTTTTGCTTGTGTACATAAATGTAACTTCAAATTAACTTCTCCCCATAGTAAGTCACACACAGTTTTTAAATGTTTTTTACGTAAATAAATGAAGTAATAAAATACAATATACCCTTATCAATAGAAACTATTCTGTTTTAATTTTATTATCGAACAGAGAGGTACACCCGTGCAATCCAATCACAGGGAACACCAAGTAATTAGTTTATGTTAGTGAGGTAGAATCTAGAAACGCCAAACCAGCAAAAATGTAATAGAATTTCCAAGTAGATATCCTATATTTTGATTCAGGACCATTTCACTGAAGCATTTGGCCTCATATTCCAGGTTTTAAGGTCATAGAATTCTTCGTTTTGGAGTTATACGAACAACAACGCTTCTCCGGTTTTTGTGGGTGTCATCTGACACCAATATTCAGATGCGTTTTTTTTAATACTTCATGTTTGTTTGTTTTTTAAGTTAAAGTGCAATTTGTCAAGTCTCCTCGAATTTCTCTTTCTTTAGAGGCTTTATTTAAAAAACATATTTTTGTGTGCGAGCCTCAAAACCCTACACTAATGAAATAATATTGGGGGAGGATAATTAACCCGTTGCGAGTGTCTGATTGAGGTGGGTGCGGTGTTGCAGCAGGAGGCCGCCAGCGGGCGGCCCGACGCGAACGGGTCCCCGGGCCTGGGGGAGCTGCCGCAGCCCGACCTCCTGGGGCTGGTGTCGGCCTTCGACCGCCTCGAGGAGGACGAGGAGGACCTGCTGCAGCAGCTGGGCGAGCCGGCCTTCGAGCTGGACGACAACTTCTTCAAGGCCTTCGAGGAGAAGGTGAGCGCCCGCTTCCACGCCCACATCCCACCCACGCTCATGCTCACGCACCGCCCACGCTCCCGTCCGCGTTCCAGCCCCGACCCAGAGCCGGTACCACGATCCCGCCCGCGCTCCCGACCCTTCGCTCCTGCCAAACAATTTGCCATAATACGTGTCCTTAGACCTTTAAAACTCATCAACCTCTTAGCAATTGGATGGTTGCAGTAAGTACTATTTTCACTGTTGATTTTTTTAAAAATTTATTTTTTTCATTTAGTTAATTAGTTAGGTAGGTATTTAGTTTTTTTTTTTAATTTATTTATCGTTTTCTTTTTACATATACGACTCGCGTAGTATAAAGTATTGTAATGCGGTGTCAAAAACCGGCGATGTTTGGACCGTTGAACTCATATTGAGAGTCCCTGATACTGAAAAGAAGGATAAATCGTGTTCCAATAAGTAATCAAATACTTTCTCTAACCCGTTTCGTAGTCAGAATCTACGTTTTGTGAGTTCATTATTTCGAAAAATTGGTTGACCGCAAAACATCTGTCTGTCCGACTGGGTACGTCATGGATCTGGCCCATCTCGAGACCCTCCTAATTTCAAACGAATATTTTAACTTTCGAAGGAATTTTCTCGAAAATGGGTCCAGTTTTTTACTTTTACCTTTACACTTTAAAATTTGAGATCAGGTGAAACTTTCGTTGAACTCTATATTTTCGAAAATTGCAAAAGTTAACTTTTTTCAATGTCTTCCTTTAGCTGCAATATTGAAGATGGATATTTTTTCTTAATAAAATGTGCTTCAAAGACAGCTCTTTAAATTAAATAATGAGCAATTTTTTGAAAATAAGAGTATTTTCAAATACTTTCGTGTAATTTTGCGGGAAAAACAAGCAATTTTTAAATTATCTCAAAACAAGTCTCAAAATGTTTTCTTTATTTTTCTCTCAAATAGAGCAAAATACGGTTATAAAAATGATGCACATTCTACTTTCAGTTAACGGTCAGTTTTTGAAAATTGCAAAAAATTAACATGGGAAATCAACAATACTGATGTTAGAGATTTTGTGTTGTGCAAATTTCTGACAATTTTTCATCATTGAATTTGTGATGACGTATTAGGTTTGAAAGAGTCACACCTAATCTGCAATAATTTGTAGTGATGGCTGAGGTTTGTTAATAAGCACCGAAATTGCAGTATTATAATATTACGTAACTAGTACTAATGAGAAAGTATGCTTTGTTGTAGCACCACTAGTTATTCTTTTTCTCATTTTAATCACTAATATTTACAGTTTTCTAATATTTATAACCACTCTTAATCAGTGAAACAATTATAATTACACATTATTTTGTTTTGAACTCCAAAGGAAACAAAACAAACAAAAAAACACTTTTTTTTTTTCAAAAATATACATTTTTTTATCCTAAAATTATAATAAACAGACACTTTTGAACACACAACTGCAATTGTTAATGATATTGAAAATAAAATAAACTTGTCACTTACAAAATCAAAGAAATTAAGAAGTGGCAAGCAATCTGAAAACAGATAATTTAGAACATTCAAGGCTTTCTTAGAATTCTAAATATTTTTATCTTTGAAATGAAGAATATTCTGTTAGAAACCTAAAATTTTTATAAAACAGACATTTTAATATTTCAATTTTTCATCTTTAATCTTTAACTAAATCCACAAAAATAAGTAAATAAAAAAAAATAATAACATGGAAATTAATTGTAGACGCATCCAACATATATTGATCTTTACCCTATAAACACTTCTAGAAGATATACTAACTTAAGTTATTTTAAAGTCAAGGGAATGAGGGATCATGCACATTAGGTTAAACTATATTTACGAGAAAAATTATCTCTGACTTTCAACTGGAATGTAAAAGAAACTGATAAAAAGTTTAAAACCCACAAGCTATATTATTTTCTAATGATTATGTTAATTATGTTGGCCTGTTAAATGCAAGGAGTGGAATATAGATTTAGATAAAGGACTATTATGGCTCTTCAAAATTCTAATCTTTATTATTTGATTAGAATTCCTTGCAAGATTAAATTTTGCTTAGTATATGATACATTGTCATGAAGTTATGAAAACACCATTTTTCTCTTGTAGACAACATAACATTTATTTCAAGTTCCTGAATAAAAGTGTTGCTGAAGTGTAGTCAAAATATTTATTAAAAAGAATGATCTATTAATGAAAATAAGTGTCAAACTGAATTACTAATATTTTACAAAATAAGTGTATTAGTACAAAATTTGAATTGTACCAAACTTATCTTCTACAGTAAGAAAAAATGTAACTGCCAAAATCCAAATTTTTAATTCTCCTGAATCTCTTTTCAAATTAAAAGATAAGCTCTTGGAACAAATCAATTGAACTCTTTGTATTTAAGTGACAGATTATGTTAAACAATAAATATTTTACAAATCTTTTAATAGGCTGTAATGTAATTATATTAATTTTTGGGAGAAATGTACAGTTTATTTTTGTTATATTTATTTCTTGAATTAAATTTTAATAAAAAATAATGCAATATGTCTGAATTGTTTATTACTAGTTCCATGTTCTAGAACTATATTGTCAGTTTGTACATTAAAAAGAATAAAATACAAATATCTGTTTTCAGGAGGAAAACAACAACAATGTCGTTTCGGGCAATGCAAGTTCTGAAGGTTCCTCCAGTAATGGTACAAACAATGCTTTACCACTGACTAAAAGTGCCTCGTTAGCCATGTCTCAAGAGGCTCGAAGTTCGTCAGCTGCAGCAGTAGCAGCAGCTGTCAGAAAGTACAATATAGCAGCAGCCAATCCTCTTCTGGCAGGTGAGTATAGTCACCATTTTCTGCATCTTCCAATATATCACAGGTAACAGGATAAAACCTTACTTTGCTTCATTATCAATTTTCTTGGTAAACGAATTTCCTGTTGCTTACATGACCAAATACCGCGCTGGGTACCAACTATATACCTCATGAGGACACTTATTAGTATTTACACTAAGTACACATGCAGGCTCCTCAGTCTATGGTCAGGTGAACCCACGACCCTTTGGAATGAAATGCTGAGTCAGTACATGCTCTAGACACCTCAGCCGTCCAGGTCGGCTACATGACCAAATACTATGTGATCAACCTTAATTGTTCCTTTATTTCTTGTTCTTCATCAATTTTCAACCAATTTTTCACTTCCCTATCTTACTTTTCGGACTTGATTTAACACCATTTCTTTGCTATTCTCAAAATATTGTTCCCTTAGAGCAAAGAAAGTAATGTAGATGAACAATTTTTTTGAAATTTTTTTTTGAACATTTTAGTATTTTTGGAAGTACGTATTTTGATTGAGCAGATATACAATAACAAGTACACTGGAAAAGATTTTTATTCAGCAAAATCAACAGATGAATTATATACCACAAATTGACAACTGGTTCTAATTTCATTCATTTAATGTGTGTTCTATCTTGTTTCTCCTAATTTTGCAAAATGTTTTAGTAATTCTAATGTTTTACAAATAGTCTGAAAACATAATGGAATATTTTTTTGTCTCACTATTAGTAAAAATAATTATATATGTCATATCCTTTACTACACATTTTCCTCTTAATTTTTACATAAGTGTACTTTGATACAGTGCCACATTTGCGCTTGTCGCTTCACATTGCTTCATTATACACACCCAAGATTTCCTAACAAACATTTCAAGAGGAAAAAATATTATTTAACATTCAAATTATAATTTGCATTGCTTTCTACTATGCTTATTTTTGCTCTTAGTGTGTAACAATATAGTGTAGTAACATTTTATTTTCGATTATATAACATTTTTTAACATACACATAAAATAAAAATTAGTGTGTATTTTTTCCATTCCCACGTGCACCCAATCGTCTTCAAATATTTAGTTAAAGAAACAATGTTATCACTGGAAGTGGTTGATTTTAGAAAAACATTACAGAGGCATTAGCAGATATTAAATTTGATAACAACTATAATTGAACCTGGCTAAGTTGGATTTCAAAGGGAAGATATTCTATTCTCTCTTAGAAGAGGTGTCTCGCATATTGAGGCCTACATGTTGTTACTTCTTGTAAATCATGAGTAAAAAATGAAAGTGACTTTTGATACATTTGCACTTCTTCACAGAGCTCTCCTGTTGTCTATTTTTTTCATATTGGCACAGAACCATTAATATTCCACTCACTACATCAAATTTAACTTTTGTTTTGTGCATTTGCAACATTCATACAATAGGTTGAATGTTCTTCATGTACAATCTACAATTCTTCTACAGAATACTTGGTTTGTTGGTTGGTTAATAAAAATTAAAGAATATGTAGAAACATTAAAACAAAATAAAGTGAAAAATGATTTTTTTCAAAGAATTCCTAGATCATCCCATTCTCTGATAATTAACATTGAGAAAAATCTATGGAAAAACAGTTCCAGTTAAATAGGTTTTACATTCTTGTTAATTGAGATTTTTTCTTATAAACTGTACTTAACAGTCTCATGAATAAAAGTGTCATCTTATCCAGGTTTGACTTTAGTTTCACAAAATCACAAATGTTTCTCTAAATGTTTCACTAAGACCCCATTTCGATCAGGTTTTTGTCCAGTTTCCCTGATCCATTGAGCGAATGCTAAGATGGCCACTTGTTTTGTTTCTTGGCAAAAATGTATCTTCACTATGCACACGTTTAGTTAAGCTCTCCTTTTGTTAATTGTGGAAGGAGTAGAGCTGGGTGTACAGGATACTATTTGTTTACAAATACTAACTCAATTCTGTAGCTCGATTACTAATGCAAACACTTTTTTGTTACACAGGAGCAAAAATATCTGTTTTGAAATGTTGTTAACCTTGTTTTGTCGGTACTTTCATTTATCATTCGACTATTTAAGGTTAAAAGGTAGGAAAGAGATTTCCTAGCTCAAGAAAAGTGTGCAGATTGTACTTCTTCTCCATATTTCACATACAGTTTTCACTGCTCATCAACAAAATAAATTTAAAAAATCAAAATCAAAATGCTTTTACAAAGTATTCTAATGACAATACAATATACACTTCTTTCGTATTTGAAATCTTGAATTATAATAATAACAGTGCTAATCTTGCATGCAAATATTATAACACTAGAGCAAAAAATACAGAGTGAAGGGAAAAAATCTGCTATTGGCCATAATGAGTTAGTCTAGAGATCTATTTAAATAAGACAGATAAAGATGTTTTATATCAATTTCATTCCTAGAAATGACATCTGTCTTCTTTATTAAATTAGTAAGGTACCTATCAAACCCTCATTTCAAAGTGGATTTTTTTTATTTAACAATCGCAGAATTCAAATATATTGTGGGGAAAGGTCAAAAATTTTAAGATATAATAAGTTTGTTTATCTACATTAATAAAATTGGAGAGTATGTCTGTGATTTCAAAATAACTGCCTCTTTATTATTCTCAAATGCATATTTGGATGATATAATAACCAGTACTATTGTGTTTATGTTTTTTGTCAGTTTGGGTCTGTTTGCTGAGAGTAATCTGTGAAACTGCTGAACCGATTTCGATGTGGATATTATTGAAATATATTGTGTTTTGTTGGACATAACTTAAGTTGCTTTCTTAAAATTATTATTTTCTCATCAATAAAGAAAGTTGGTTTGTTTTTGGTTTTTTTGCCAACAAATCTACAGTTTTAATAAAATCTTTTATAATGAAATTTTGTACAAATGACCTACAATATTAGATAAGTATACATGTGTGAGATTTTGTTAAAACTACTCCCATCCTCCTTTTTTACCCCTTACAGAAAAATCCCTATTCTCTATTAAATGCCTTTTGATTCATTCCAATTGCACAATTAGATTCAGAATAATTGGAGGTTAAAATTGTTAGTACTTTTTGTTGGTAGAATACAACAATGCATGTTTACAGCTGCCCATAGTAACAATGGTAGTAGCAAAAATGATCATAACAAACATGTCAGGGTGAAGAGGGACAGGGCAGCTCAGGTGAGACAGAAACATTACGATTAAATTCTCAGCAATACAGATATTTGAACTAGTGTGATATAAAAGAAGAGATACAAAAGTTGAAATACACAATACCTAATAAAAAAACAATATTTTGTAATATTGTGCTCACAATTACACAAAGTTGTATAATTCAAGATTTCATTAAAGTCTAATCAATTCTAGCCTGATACATTCAGTAGTGTGTGAAGGCTCAATTGTTCAGTTGTTTTTTAAAGGATAGTTTTGAGAAAAGATATTAAAGTCTTAAACGTTTCTTCTTTTTAGGAAATATGAACACAGAAATAAAATTAATTATAACAAATTCCAAAAGGATCATTTGAATATGTAAATTCAGTATATATTAATAACCAAAACTACTTTGGCATTCATTCTTTTGTTATTTTATTATCTAGAAGCTTTAAGCTTTAAATTGAGCATGAAACTCCTTTTGCATTCATTCTTTTGTTATTTTATTATGTACAAGTTTCAAACTTTAAAGTGAGAATGAAACCACATTTTGTAACAACATTGTTGCAGTCAAAAAGTGGAATTTGGGTGTGTTCATAAACATCCAAGTGATTATCTGCAAATTTTTAAAAGTACAGCATTTATACTGCACTCTTCACTACTTACCTTTCCAAAGTGTATTGCAAGGAATAAATATGTTCTCCATGATCTATCATTGACTTTGACATCCCTGTTGATAAATTCGTTAAGCAAATAACTGCAAATCCATTTACTTCTTCCTTTTATTTACAATTTGATTAAAGTTCTCTGATGATAAAGGTAAACACAAATTAAATGCAATAGCTGTTTTTAGAGTACATAATAACATCATGCATACAATTTTAAGGCAGTTATGATGTTTAGATTTTTAGGACAATCCTTACAAGGAACACAAGTAGCACCTCTAGACAATGATAGTCATAATCTTTTTGGGCAAACTTGTCCTACTACATCCATATTTGCAAACGGTTATCACTATTATTTGGTAAATATATTTGTAATACTTAAAAAAAAAACTTTAAAAAAATTAAATATTTGCATATCATTAAAATTTGTGAAATTACAGGAATTGGAAACTGATAAAAATTCAAACAGTATAGAATGAATTTTTGTTCTTCAACAGACCATCTGAACTTTTCTGAAGCATAAGAGGGACTTTTCAATAAATTCTTTTGACAAATTTACCTTTTTTATCCTCCCCAGTTTTGAACCCTCACCCATCTCAATCTTTTTCTTACATCCAGTCTACCGTAATCCAATGAGCAATGTTGAATAGCTACCTTGCTTTCCTTCTGGACTTATAAGTAGCTTCACTATTTGTGTTTTGTTGAAACTGTTCTTTTGTTAGAAGTGGTAGGAGTAGAGACAGGTGTTACTAGTTGCTATTTTGTTAGCAATACTACAAAGTCAGACCTATAGCTTGTTTACTGATACAAATATGCTTTCTAATACTTGGAAGTAAAGTGTGAGCAGATTAAACTGCTTCCCAAATTTACTGTTGAATTGTTTTTCATGGGGGGGGGGGGAGAAAAAAGAAAGAAAAAAAAATTACATCAAATTAACAACATGTTACACTTCATTACAAATTGTTTGATTTCATGTAGAATTTTACTACAATTTTTCAAATTTAATCCTATAGTATAGTTTTAATTAATATTAACATACAGTTTTAGTTTGAACTTAATATGTAATTTAATAGTTATCAATAGAGCCTGGGAGTTTGGCAAAGTGCTTTTTCATAATTGTTATGATTTTATGACTTTTAACAATAGGAAATACTTAATTGTACTTTTGGAGTTGTTTTCCTAGATTTTAATTTTCCTTTTTTTCCCTTTTTTAGCTTCTGATGCCTATTTTTGGCATTTTGCCTTATTTGTGCTTTTTCTTCCTTATTTGTAGACTTTTCTGCTTTTTTCATTATTGTTTTTCCTTTTTTCCTGCGTGCACCAATTTCTATCAAGTTGGAAGCATACCTGCTATCCTGGACAACATGAATACATGGTCGAGTATTGTCTTTCTGTGAACACTGAGGCTCCAATGTCAGTTTGTGTTAAAAATCTAAACAGTAAAGGAAAATGATACCAGTGAAGATTTTTGATATTTTTCATTTATGCTCATAGACTTGTTCGCTAACAAGAAACCTCATCGTATGTTTGTGGGTGCCCTCGGATCACTTTTTGAGGACAAAGTTGTCTGTCCAGGACTATACCCTTCTCAGTTCCTTCTTGTTCTCTCTTCCTTTCTGGCATTTGCACAATTGCGAAGAACGAAATCTAAAGGTCCATTTTTACTGCTACCATTTCAAGATTCAAAGGAGAGTCCGCAATATCATTTCGTAGAGACAAGGTCGTTAGTAAAATAAATTTTTATTCGTCAACCGGATAGTCAAGTGTGATCAAGATTACAAAGAAAAGGTAGTTTCCTTACATGTTAGTTCTAATGTAAATTTTAGAGCTAAAATAAAAATGTGAAAGATTTAATTATTAAATTTTTACACCAATTACTTTTAAATTATGATTTTTTTAATGTATCCTGTGTTTTGCCTTCTACTTTAACATTAATAAATTCTTTTTTTGCATGCCTATTTTAGTAAAAATAAATACCATTTTGCCTGCCTATTTTAGGTAAAATAAATGCCTGAATTTCCAGGCTCTAATTATCAACAAAGTATTTCAAAAACTTTCAGTTTAGTCTCCTTCTCCCTCCTCATTTGCTATTACCAGATGTAGGAATACTCTCTCCAGCATAAAAGTTAACATTATTTTTTTAATTGGTCATAGACAAAAAACTAAATCCAACAAAAATGTCTCCTGTTAAGAAACATGCTGCTTTGTGGTACAAAAGGAGGGTTTTGGCAGTAAGATCGTTGTCCTGATTAAATATATATGTATATCCTAGTGCAATGTGCATATAATGAAAGTGTGTTTGTGTTTCTAAAAATAAAATATGATGCTAAAGAACAAGAGTCGTGTTCTGACTGGCCAGCACTGCCCTTGTGCTCCGATTTCATTTTTACACGTTCTTCTTTTTAAAATTTTATATTCTGTTCACTGTTGCTATAACTTCTGTTGTCTTTAATAACCTATTTGCAAATTTCTAACTATATCTTCATAGACAACATCTTATGAAAAGCAATTGTTTTATGGTTATTAAATTGATTTCAAAAATCAATTTGTACTCCATTAACTTTTTATTGCAATTCTCTTAAATTTGTTTTAAAATGGCTGACATTAATGTACATAAGTGTGCAAATTGATGTATCTCTAGATGGAGAGGGAGTCATATATGTTTGCATAATGATTAGAAAATCTTGCAAAATATTGCATAATGGCTGATAATGAATTGAAACAAAAAACAAATGTACTTCATTTCTACATTTATACATAGAGTAAAACTTGAGAATCCACTAAAAAAAATATTGAATAGGATTTTGTCTATTTAAATAAACACAATTGATCAATGGAACTGAAAGTTCATCAATTATTTAATTACCATTATTGGTTAAATGGCATGTAAGATGGCACAATTAATTATTCCTTATGTTAGGAAGATACATTTCCTTTCAAAATTTTTAAAATAAACATACAAAATACAAATATGTTTAAAATTATTTTAAAACATATTTACCCCCTAGAAGACAATTAACTACTTTGCACAATTTTGTTTTGTTTTTTTGTTTCAAGAAAGAAATTTATTCCAAATCAATTAACTTTTAAAAATATTAGTCTCTGTTTTCTATGTTTCTATTCAATACTCTTTTCTTTCTTTTTACTTACTTTCTTCTCTTTTCTTCTTTAAATTCTATGTGCAGCCGAAGTTCTACGAGTTTTTGTCCTACACTGTGTTATGTGCCCCATAATTCTTCACCTCATTGCTCTGTTTCATGTGCTACAGAGAAACTTGCTGCTCCTCCCCCTGCTGTGTCAAACAGCAACTCAGGCAGCAGTCATATGAACAGTCTGGGCAGCTCAAGCACGTCGACGTCGACTTCCATATCGTCTGCCTCAGTGCCCATCATTAGCAGAGCTTCCATCAAGACGGAGTGCCTTCCCATCAACAAAGGTCAGTCTCTTGCATTGTGTTTCTTTGATCAATTCAGTACGTAACTAATTTATTTGCTTCTGAGTTGAGGAGTGCAAAGACTGTCAGACAACTATGTCATGCAACAACCTGATTAACACTGGTTTATGAACTAAGTCACCCCTGGGGCCCCCCCTCAAAAAAATGTCAAAGATGGGTGGTAATATGTGTGATGGAGAATGACAGAAGAAAGCATGAGGTAAAGATAAATACAGAAGTGATGATCAATATCAATATGAATATGGATGAATGATGGAAGGAAAGAGATGAAATGCAGCAGCACTATAGAAATGGGTCATGAACACATAACATCCATTGCAAATTCAGCATTTACGATCATGTCCAAAGAACAAAATGAAGAATCATGGCTGCTACAATTCAACATTTTCCCAACTCCCATTATCTTCCCATCAGCAAAGGTCAGTCCCTTGCATTGTGTTTCTTTTAATAATTCAGTATGTAACTAATTTATTTGCATCTGAGTTGACTAGAGCAGAGACTGTCAGACGACCATGTCATGCAATTACCCGATTCACCCTGGTATACAACATGAGTCATCCCTTGGTTGCCAAAAACGCACGTCAATGATGGATGTTATGAGTGTGATGGAGAATGACAGAAGATAGTATGAGATAATGATGAATATGAAAGTGAGGATGAATATGAAGATGAACATGGATGAATGATGGAAGGAAACTGAGATGAAAAGCTGAAGCACTATTGAAATGGGTCATGAACACGTACAATCCACTGAGAAATCAGCATTAATGGCCATGTCCAAAGAACAAAAGAAAGGATCATGGCTGCTACTATTCAACCTTTTCCCAATTCTTTATGAATCTGTTGTAAAAATGTGTTGATAAGAAAGTACTGAATTATACTGTTCTACCTTTAAACTATGGATAAAATCCAAAGTATCCCAATTCCCAAAACACAAATAGAATTCATTTCTTGATACAGAAATATATCATAGCAGGTCCCAATGAAGTCGGAGCCTGGACCTAGTTACCCAAACTGCACCCTCCCCCTCCCTCCTGGGTGACTGGTATTATATGTAAAAATATAGGACCAAAAAAATGATGTCTATCTACATATAAACTACATTCAAAGCAGTTGAAATAGCTGGCATTGTTTATCATGTAATACCACAGCATTAAAACCATCATTGAAATCAAAGGTTTGAAATTATTTTTACTTTAACATACCTTTAAAGGAATGGAACAAACTGGAAGCAAATATTAATCTATGAAAAAAGATCAATTTGATACAATTTCTGAATCATGCTCAAAGACCAATTTGGCCACACTTTTTAAAATCCTGACACACATTATAAAACAATGTGAACTAAATATATGTATTTATTGACTTATCTGTAGATTTGGTAGGGTGTCAATTCTTTATAGGATATTTATTAAAGGGGTCAAGAATCAATATTCATTATAATGTTCAGTTGAACACTATATTTCTATGGAGAATATCTATTTACTAATATTTTGATATGACATCAAGTTCAGATATAATTATTTTTATTTTTGTTCATATAAATGTATTGCTATTTATGTAAATGTAATATTATAATGAATTATTTATAAGAATATTTAAACTCGTGAAAAGAAAACTAAAGTCAACATGGTCAGCTTTGACACAAAGATCACTTCCAGCAAATTATATTGTTTCATCAGTATTTAATTTCTGAAAGTATAATCCCTTACTCCAGTGATGTAGGCTACAATTATCAAGTTCAAAGGTATACACTTGAAGATAAATTATAAAATTATGAATTGAATTTGAAAAACCTTCAATTAGTAATTCAGGAATAGTACAACAAAAACTTTTTCATTAAAAGAGTCTCATAATGGGATGAAACTTGCAACAGTTAAAATGAATGTCAACTGCAGTGTCTAAACAGTGAGTACTAAATTATTGTTTTACAGACTGATCATCTCTTATACCTACTATTATATAATAATGTTTTAAAAGTGTTTTTAAGTACTGAGATGTATGCATTTCCATGTTCCACTTTTTGAATTAAACCACATTATTGTAGTGTTAAAAAAGATAAATACGCAATGAAATTACATTGCAATTACCGAACAATTAAAATTATTTAATAACTAACATTTTGGCAACTTATTGTTCGTCATTCTTTGTTTTAAATTCCTGAGTAGTCTGACATTGCTAGTTGGATTCGCACATTTTTAGCTGAATTTAGCGCCACGCCACATGAGATGGCGAAATTCAGCGGAGCGTTTATGCACCATTAGTAGGAGGATTACTCACAACAAGAGAGCGCGTCAAGCGTATTAGACTTGTAGTGCTTCCAGCGGTGCTAAACGAAACCAGTCCCCGCCTGAAAAATGTGCGGGGCTTACAAATGAAAAAATATGGCATGCACATTTTGACGAATCGAAACATGAGATTAGTGTAGTCAAACACATTTATTTTCATGAAGAAAATAAATGTGTAAAGAAGTTTTATGTGATAGAAATCGTTAATATAAAAATTCAATAACCCATCAATGTTTTCTTGGCTGTTCTGCTATGTTAATATTTATTATAAATAAATATTATTGAGAATTGGGCAAAGTTACTATTAATAATATTTTAAACTTGAACTAATATTTTAACGAATATTGAAATGATTTTAAATTGTAGTCTTTGGAGGTAAGAACTACGCGGTTTATACGTCTTGTTTTGCGTAAACATGCTAATGTAGTGAATTTTGCGTTCCTATTTTGCTATATTGAATGGATTTTTATTACGAGTACAATATTTCGTTAGTTTTATGTAAATGGGAAGTGGATCTAAAAAAAAACTACAAACGTCAAAATATCATCTCTCAATTTTCTATGGTGTTTTTGACACGATAATCTATTCCTATCTCAACACCCCCCACCCACCCATCTCATCCCCAAACTTCCCAATTCATCCAACTACTTTCCATTCCATTTCGTCTCTTTTGGTTTTCATTCCAGCCCATCTTGTACCAACTCTAAATCCAATCCTATATACTGTACATCATTCATTACATTGTATATTGCCCATTTTCATCCCATCACCTCGTACCCCATCTCCTCCCATCCCTCCGTTCCCCACGCCCAAAACGTCGCACTGTAATTTATTCCAACTCAATATTCCCCATCAATACCATTATTCCTTTCTTCCCAGCACTCCTAATCCGAAACCAAACCGCTCGTCAATTCTATACCCCATTGCTTTCTAATCGCCATCTTCCACTCACCTTATTACTCTCCATCACCTCTCTATACCCTGTTTCACTTCGCGCCTCCCGAAGACTGTCGCGCCAAGCCCAACCAAAGCCAGCCAAGCCAAAGCCCAACCAAGCCCAGCCCCGAACCCGACCCGAACCCGACCTGACCCGACCCGACCCGCACCGACCCGACCCGCTTCCTCGCCCCCGCCCCTGCCCCTGCCCCCGCCCCTGTCCCCACCCGCCAATTATTGCCCAGCCCCCGCCCCCGCCCTTGCCCCCGCCCCTGCCCCCCCCCCTGCCCCCGCCCCTGACCCCCGCCCTGCCCCTATCCGCCGCCACTCCAACGCTACCCGCACCTATCACGCTCCTTCCCCACGTCCTAACCCCCTTCTCCCCGCCCCGCCCTCTCCCCGACCCCCTCTCCTCGTTCCCCCCCTACTCTCGCCGTCGCCACTCCGCATCATCTCGCCCTGTTCCCGCCATGCCCCCTTGCCCTGCACCACCGGCCCCGCCCCGCCCGCCCCGCCCCGCCCGTCCCGCCCCTCCCCTCCCCTTCCTCTGACTCGTCCCCGCCCCTGGCCGCTGGGCCGCGCGACCGCTCGTTTTCCTTGTGGCGTTCGCATCCAAGTCAAGGCCAGTCGAGCGGCGACGCGAGCGGCAGGAAACGCGGCCCGCCGCCTCCCACGCCACTTTTCAAAATAACATTCGAAACACGCCAGTCCCGCCTTTCGTACGGCCTCAGAAAGGTCGCGTGGGGGTGGAAACTGTTTTGAATTGTCGATTGAAGAGTTGCAATGCCAGTGGGAATGAACCGAATGCGTTTCACACCGAACTGCATTAACTTGCTTTCGAACTAAACTTTATGAAAAACAAATGTGGGATAGAATGGAACGGATTGGATGGAGTGGTTGGATAGGATGGGACGAAACGGAATGGGTTTTGATTCGACAGGGTAGGATTCTTAATAAAATAATGTTTAAAAATTATTTTTTTCTTGACAGTCCGAGACAAATGTTCCAAAGATCTCTTAGTAAATTTTTCGATTCAATTCTGCATTTGCATAAACGACTACAATTACTTGCTTTGAAAACTTTCGTCAGCTTTCAAACAAAGAAATGGTGGTCTGAATTTAGAATGGTAGAATTGTAATAATTTTTATGCAGTGTTCTGGTTTTCTATATGTCCCCGATAATACTACTAATTTATTAATAAATGTAAATTATAATACGATGTAAGCAAGTATTAAGACACAGAAATACATTGAGTAAATAGGATTCTTACAATGCTGTAGGTGCACTCCATAGAGTATTGAGAGGAATCGCTAGTTCTAGCATTATAGGATCAATTAAAATTTATTTCGTCTGGTTTAACGCCTTATTAGTTTATATTATTAGTTTATATTATGTTATTTGTATTTGGATGAGTAACTTTGTATTTTTTTTAGTGTAGAGATTGTGAAGACATGATTGGATCAACTGGGTTTACCAATAAATATGTTAAATGCATTTTTTAACCTTTTACTTTTAAAGCCTCAGTAGGGCCTCATATGCTAATTCAGGATTCATCATTCGTCCCCAAAGACTGACCCAACAGTTACATTTCTTGGCGTCTTCGTTATTGGGTCGTTCCCTGGATGAGCAAATAAATCTGATTAGTGCCGGTAGCGTCAGGTTATTTAATTTTGTGACGCATAGCCAATGTGTACCCTACAAACCGCAAACACGATGTGGCCATTGGATTTTCTGCCATTTGACAAATAACAACATACTTCACTTTGTGGAAGTGATACAATAGTAAATAAACCAATAATGAC